ATGCCTTTACCGCAAGCATTGGAATCATGCAGCCGCACAACCCGCTACAGTCCACCTCCGCCACGGACACTCCCATGACCGCAGAAGCCACTGCCCCGCCGAGAAGGAGCCAACAAAAAAAAGCAACGACAGCACCCATTGCAAAAGACCCGCGAAAACTTCTCGGATAATCAGTGACCATCATACAACAATCGGTGAACAATCTTAAGACACTAACTTTGCGGACAACAAATAGCAACTCGTTGACCAAGCCGATGCCTGAAAACGGCGCGGCTCCAGCGCCTCGAAGCTTGTCTTCCTCACTGTGTGTTTTTGAGATTTAAAGGAGAACAAGAGAAGAGAAGGGAGAGAGAAAGGAGAGAGGAGAGATCAACAGGAATGCAACTCTAAATGGAAGAGCAATGAAAAGAATGGAAGAGAAATGAGGACAGGCGAAATGCAAAAATCAGGCAAAGAGAAGATGGTGCTCGTTTTCATCTTTCCTCTGGTTCTTATTTTTCTCTTCTCTTGTTCATTTCCGTTAGGAAAAACAAAAGGAATAACAATGAACATGTAAGCAAACCCAGCTGATGCTCATGATTTTTTCCTTTCGCCCTCTCTCTCTCTCCATATATGGGCGATGGAACGGGTGTCCTTGTTGGGCCGTTTCCTGCATCTTCAAGTGAGGAACCTAAGTGTTTTCTTTTGTTCGTTTGAAGACACAGAAAGCGATTAAAAGGGACGTCCATTTTGGATTGGCAGCCAACCCAGCTGATGCTCATGATTTTTTTTTTCTCTCTCTCTCTCTCTCTCTATATATGGGCGATGGAATGGGTGCCCTTTTTGATCGTTTTCTGCATCTTCAAGCGAGGAAAAGGGACACCCCACAAGAAAGCACTTAGGGTGTCCCTTTTGCTCGTTTGAAGACACAGAAAGCGATTAAAAGGGACGTCCATTTTGGATTGGCAGCCAACCCAGCTGATGCTCATGATTCTTTTTCTCTCTCTCTCTCTCTCTCTCTCTCTCTCTCTCTCTCTCTCTGGGCGATGGAATGGGTGTCCTTTTTTGATCGTTTTCTGCATCTTCAAGCGAGGAAAAGGGACACCCCACAAGAAAGCACTTAGGGTGTCCCTTTTGCTCGTTTGAAGACACAGAAAGCGATTAAAAGGGACGCCCGTTTTGGATTGGCAGCCAACCCAGCTGATGCTCATGATTCTTTTTTTCTCTCTCTCTCTCTCTCTCTCTCTCTCTCTCTCTCTCTCTCTCTCTCTCTCTCTCTCTCTCTCTCTCTCTCTCTCTCTCCCTCTCCCTCTCTCTCTCCCTATATATGGGCGATGGAACAGGTGTCCTTTTAGATCGTTTTCTGCATCTTCAAGCGAAGAAAAGGGACACCACAAGAAAACACTTAGGGTGTCCCTTTTGCTCGTTTGAAGACACAGCAAGCGATTAAAAGGGGCGCCCATTTTGGATTGGCAGCAAACCCAGCTGATGCTCATGATTTATCTCTCTCCCCATAAATGGGCGATGGAACGGGTGTCCTTTTTGGATCGTTTTCTGCATCTTCAAGCGAAGAAAAGGGACACCACAAGAAAACACTTAGTAAGGGTGCCCCTTTTGCTCGTTTCAAGACACAGAAAGCGATTAAAAGGGACGCCCATTTTGGATCGGCAGCAAACCCAGCTGATGCTCATGATTTATCTCTGTCTATATATGGGCGATGGAACGGGTGTCCTTCCTGATCGTTTTCTGCATCTTCAAGGGAGAAAGAAGGGCACCGCCCAAGAAGGAAAAGTAACATCAGATATAGGGAGGGAAATTGAAGAGCTCCTCTCTTTACTTAGTCATTCCCTTTCCTCTCTTCTTATCTGTTGTCTTCTTCGCTTCAAAATGCAAAATAAGGGAAAAGAGATTTCCTGAAGAGGAGGGAGGGCACCTATTGAAGAGCTCCTGTCTTTACTTAGTCATTCCCTTTCCTCTCTTATCCGTTGTTTTATTCGCTTCAAAAAGCAAAATAAGCGAAAAGAGATTTCCTGAAGAGGAGGGAGGGCACCTATCTGTAAAGAGCAATCGTTTAGAGGGGAACAGGAGAAGAGGAGCGAGAGAGAAGGACAGAGGAGAGATACAGGGAATCCAATTTCAATAGAACAGCAAAGAAAAGAATCGAAGAGAGATGAATAGAGAAGAGGGAGAGACAAAACAAGGCGCAGAGAAGACGGCACTCTTCTTTATCTATCCTCCCTCCCTTATCTCTCCCTTCCCTCTTTCTTTTCCAGATAAGAACAACTAACGAGGAATAATTATGAAAAGGAGAAGAGTAAGGGAAGGAGCAGAAGAGATAGGCCGAGAAGAGGGATATGATGAAGTACGGCAAGGTCCACGCGCAACCTCTGCTTACCCTGCCACTGTTTTATCCTGCAAGTTCCTTTCTTGTTGTTCATCAGTCAAAAAGTAACAGAAAGAGAGAAGGGAAAGGGAAGTGAGAGAGGAGAGAGAACAAGGATGCCATTTTTCTGGAAGGGTACTGGAAAGAAGAGAAGAGACAGGAAGCAAGGAGACGGAGTGACAAAATAAAGCGCAAAGCGCTATATATATCATCTCTCCCTTGTCTCTCCCTATTCCCTTTTGATGGGACGCCCCAGAACTAAAATATTTAAATCCAGGTATTTGAATAATTAAATTCTTTAAATTATTTAAATGGTTGGGTTTCCAGAGGAACCAATGGATTTGAATAATTAGATTATTTAGATTATTTTGGCGCCTCCTGTGACTCCTGTGAGCCAAGTCTGTGATGAAGTATGTCCCTTCTCCCCGCGGGCCAAATTTGCGATGAAGTATGTCCCCTCTCCCCGTGGGCAAAATTTGTGATGAAGCATGTCCCCTCTCCCCATAGGCCAGGTCTGTGATCCAGCATCCCACCAGCGTGATGAAGTAGGTTCCCTCTCTTTGTGGCTGAAGTATGTCCCCTCGCCCCGTGGGCCATGTTTGCCCCCAGCAGCGTGATGAAGTATATCCCCTCTCCCTGTGGGCCAAGTCTGTGATGAAGTATGTCCCTTCTCCCCATGATGAAGTATATTTGGAAGCTGAGAGTCGTGTTTTGGTGTGGTAGATTGTGGTAGATAGAAAGGAAAGGGCATGAGAAAGTAGCGAGAGGAGCTCTTCAATTCCCTTCCTGCTTTATTGCAACACATGCCCCTCTTGTTCTTCCTTTCTTGTGTTTTTGTCATTTAGAGGGGAACAGGAGAAGAGGAGCGAGAGAGAAGGAGAGGGGAGAGATAACAGGAATCCAATTTCAATGGAATGGCAAAGAAAAGAATAGAAGAGAGATGAATAGAGAAGATGGAGAGACAAAACGAGGCGCTGAGAAGATGGCACTCTTCTTTATCTATCCTATCTCCCTTATCTCTCCCTTCCCTCTTTCTTTTCGAAATAAGAACAACTAAAGAGGAAGAATTTATGAAAAGGAGAAGAGTAAGGAAAAGAGCAGAAGAGATAGGCCGAGAAGAGGGACATGATGAAGTACGGCAAGGTCCAAGCGCAAGGAGTCACCCTCTGCTTTACCTTCCACTGCTTTATCATACCTGTCTTGTGCTTTATCAGTTAAACGGAAACAGAAGGAGAGAAGGGAAAGGGAAGTGAGAGAGGAGAGACAACAAGGAGGCCATTTTCATTTTCTGGAAGGGTACTGAACAGAAGAGAGGAGACAAGAAACAAGGAGACGGAGGAACACAACAAGGCGCAAAGAAGATGGCACTCTTCTTTGTCTATCATCTCTCCCTTCCTTGTCTCTCCCTTTTCCCTCTATTCTTAAAAAGGACAAGACCTCTTCGCAGATAGGTGCCCTCTCTCCTCTTCAGGAAGCCCCCATTGCCCTTATTTTGCTTGCTTTCTGAAACGACAAGGAAAACAACACATAGAAAGAGAGGAAATGGAATGAACCAATAGGCAGTGGAGCTCTTCAATTTCTTTCCCTATCTCTTTTCTTCTTTTTTTATTCTTCATTCAACAAGGAAAAGAAGCTTCCTTTTGTGTGTTTTTGAGATTTAAAGGAGAACAAGAGAAGAGAAGGGAGAGAGAAAGGAGAGAGGAGAGATCAACAGGAATGCAACTCTAAATGGAAGAGCAATGAAAAGAATGGAAGAGAAATGAGGACAGGCGAAATGCAAAAATCAGGCAAAGAGAAGATGGTGCTCGTTTTCATCTTTCCTCTGGTTCTTATTTTTCTCTTCTCTTGTTCATTTCCGTTAGAAAAAACAAAAGGAATAACAATGAACATGTAAGCAAACCCAGCTGATGCTCATGATTTTTTCCTTTCTCCTCTCTCTCTCTCTCTCCATATATGGGCGATGGAACGGGTGTCCTTGTTGGGCCGTTTCCTGCATCTTCAAGTGAGGAACCTAAGTGTTTTCTTTTGTTCGTTTGAAGACACAGAAAGCGATTAAAAGGGACGTCCATTTTGGATTGGCAGCCAACCCAGCTGATGCTCATGATTCTTTTGTCTCTCTCTCTCTCTCTCTCTCTGGGCGATGGAATGGGTGTCCTTTTTTCTGTGGCAGATACATCGTCAGGACAGAGCTTGGGGGCTCTGCGACGGCGTATCTGTGGACATACCTGCTTGGGCTGCTGAGTTGTTTCAGTGTGGCTTTCCCTGGACTGCTGAGCTTGTGCGTGCGTGCAGTGAGGGTGACTTCTACGAGACCGAAGAGTTCCGTCCGGCTTCTTGCAAGCTGGCACTCACTGCCAAGGCGGGCGCCGCGTGGACGTACAACTTGGTGCCAGCCAGCCAGGATGTGCAGCCCGCGCCAGAGCAACCTACTGCCGTGTCATCTGCTGCTTCTGGCCGCAGCTCAAAGCCGGCACGCTGGGGACGGTGCACGTACCCTTTGTGCACAGGCAGAGCCTTCCGGCCTGTGCTCGGTGGCCGCGGTCCTTTTCTGGTTTGTCCTCGTCGGGGATGTCTGGGCAAGCGCGAGCTCACTGTGGCTGTCCCTGATTGCCTGTTCCATCCTTTTTTGTTATCAGGAATGGCGCCAGCTGCCTTCCAGATGGCAGAAGCTGTGGCCAGCTTCATGGGCATCAGTTCCATCTCGACGACGACCGATATGGAAGCACGGCAGTCGCTTTCACCGCACCAAAGGGGACTAAGTTTCACCAAGATTCCGTGGGGTTTAAAAATTAACGTGCATTGCTCCTTGAAGACTTTGCTGCTGGCTTCCAGGGTTTCAGCTTCGGATCCGCGCACTGTTGTCCTGCTGCACAGGGGCTCTAGCTACAGGGGTCTGTTGTAGTTAGTAGCGGACGGCCATGATCAAGCATTGCAGAAACCAGTTCGAAAACACAAACAGCACACATGCACGTGCTGCGGGGGGAAGCATCGGATTGAGAATTGCAAGCTCCCCGGGGCTCGTGAAATCATCCGCTTGCGCCACACACTGGCATCTCGCAAAGGAGCAGGACCCAAAGCTTCATGGAATTGAAGCTTCCCGTCAAGAAGTCTTGCTCTTCGAAGCAACACCAGAAGGAAGCGCGGAAGCTCTACGGCTCCAACTACCAAACAAGTTGGAAGAGGACCCGCCCTCAACCCTAAACCCTAAACCCTAAATCCTAAACCCTAAACCCTAAACCCTAAACTAAACTCAAACCCTATATAAACGTTTAGGGTTTGAGGGTTCAGGGTTTTGGCTTCAGGGTTTAGGGTTTAGGGTTTGGGATGTTTTCTTGTTCAGGACACAGTGCGCGGCCAAGTTTTCCTCGCCTTCGGCTTTAGACAATTTGCAGCCATCGCCTGCAGAGGCCTTGCAGGAGTTGGTGCGACTGGGTTTCGTCAAAGGACACCGGGGAAAGTGTCCTTCCTGCAAGGGAAAGTTGTCGGAGCCCGAGGAGTACCAATACGAAGGGCACTTGTACGTGCGGTGCTGCGATTGGAGGCGCCAACAAAGATTCAACGTGACGTATTTTTCTATTTTCCATGGCAGTCGCATGAAGCTTCCGGACTTGCTCAAGCTGCTGGTCTTCTACGCCCGCTCCAACCGCTTGAAGAGCCCTAAGGTCAGCGATGCAATGTCAGTTTTGTGCTCAAAAAAGAAGCACATGTTCGGACACTTGGAGGGCGATGCGCACACCATCCGGAAGGTCTATGTTAGCAAGACAAACCCTGAGTTTCAAGATGAGGTCCAAGATGCTCTGCGGCGCTGGAAAGCCCAGAAGCCTGGCAAGCCCGAGCCGAAATATTGGCTTGGACACGTTCGCATTGTTGGCATCAAAGCCCGCGCTGCTGCTACAGTGGTTGTCGTTTTGCCGACTCGCCTTGTTCCTCCGGGCCCAAGTCCTCCAGTTGAGAGTTTCGTGGAATTGAAGAACTCCGGTCTTGCAGGCCATATCAACACCGATCGCGGGAGGCAATCTTTGCTTCATTCCGATGGCGCTCAAGCTTGGCCTTGTTTGGTCTCGGCTCTAGGAAAGCCTTCTGTCACCAGTGATCATGTCAGCCACTCGAAGCATGAGTTCGCCAGAACAGTTGCTGTGAAGCGACGGGCCAACAAAAGGCCGGCAGCCTACATCACGGGAACTCAATCCATTGATAGATACTGGCAAACAGCACAAGATTTTATTCCGGCTACTTTGCATGCCAAGCATGCCAAGGAAGTCAACCCTGACTTGTATAGGTACTTGTTTGCCTTCGTTTGGCGGTATCAATTGCCGCTTGCGCAGGACTTCATCCAGGCTCTGGCTGACATGTGCTGATTCGTCCTCGTGTTCTTCTTTTCAGATTTTTAGGCGAAATATTGTTGCATGTGCATAAAATATCGGTTTTAACAAGTGTTTCAACTCTACCCTATGCCGTCCTAATTCTCTGGTTGTCAGCCTAACCATGGAGTGACAAGCCAAACGTGCCCAAAACCCACGCGAAAAGCACGTCCCACGCTTTCAGTCTCCAGGTTTTTTGTGCGCCTAAGGGAACACGTTTTGATGCCAAAGATCATTTGGATAAATTAAAAGTCCAAGAAAAACAAATTGCTGAACGAATAGCTAGGGATCTCATGCAACGACAACACGCAGACGATAATGATATGACCCATAGATCATTATTTACACACCATGACAGACCGGAACCAGAACAACCGAGATCGCCGGAAATGTATAATATTGCAACTGACCCCCGGCAGCTCTGGTTCATGGAATTTGGTGAAGAGCGCGCCTCAGCTGGAGTCCCCAGTCAGGCGCTTTTCATTGGAGGAACCATTGTCAGAACTTGCATGGTGTTGGTCAGGGTACCACGAGACGGGCCTTGCATCTCCGGACGGCGAAGGGGGCCAGCACTCCCAAGCCACGGCCCAAATGTGTGGCGCCGTCTACAAAAACACCGCGCAGCTTACATTCTCGCGATGTTTTGGGACTGGAGCCAGCTTTGCCGAAGCCGTCACCACCTCCGGCGAGAGCATTTGTGAGCATGCCACAGCATGCCCCAAAACCACGCCCGAGTCCCTCCGCGCGTAGTCACTATGCTTCGTGCCCCTCTCAAATGAATGGGGGGAGTGCTGCAGATCTGGGTGCATTATGCAAGGCCTCGGTCCCGCATTTGAGCAGTGCAGCTGGATCATCAGCGACGACTCCGGATCAGTCAGTTTCCTTACCGCTTGTTCCAAACTGGGTTTGAACCCAAAAGCCCAAAGCTAAACCTGAAGAATCGCAGAGCACATACAGAAGCTGCGTGTTCCACACATTTTTCATCAGTGGGCGAGTCAATGATCGCATTCTCGCATGTGCCGGTGCACACACCATGGTGCACATACATTGCACATGTGTCTCACCATACCCTATCGAACCTCAAGCCCCCTTTGAGGGCGAGGTAACTGTACATGCAAGTGTGATGGCCGATAGCATACAGGGAGTTGAAGCCGCATCAGCGGGCCCTGTTTTGTCATGCCCTGGGTGGGCCGGGTGGGTCAAAATTTTCGCACTGAGCTGTGGAGCCAGCGCTGCACACACAGATCTCCAGCAAACGAAGTTCCGCAAATTGCCGTTCGCAAAATCAAGCATGACAAGCAACAGAAACTTTTGGGTTGCAAACCACGAACAAACGGCACACACCGTTTTTCGAAGAGTCGATATGGAAGCAAGCGGTAAAACACCATTCGCTCGCGAACAGTAAGCTTACCGCTTGTTCCAAACTGGGTTTGAACCCAAAAGCCCAAAGCTAAACCTGAAGAATCGCAGAGCACATACAGAAGCTGCGTGTTCCACACATTTTTCATCAGTGGGCGAGTTAATGATCGCATTCTCGCATGTGCCGGTGCACACACCATGGTGCACATACATTGCACATGTGTCTCACCATACCCTATCGAACCTCAAGCCCCCTTCTTAGCCGAAAGACCAAGGCAGATGGCATCCAGGTGCTCGGACACGTCGGAACACGGGACACTGATGCCACCCCACAGCAATTGCTGGGTCACCAGTCTTGACGGGTGGTCTTTTCATTCATTCATTCGCATCAACTGTGGCAGTTGTCATGCGGGCGAGTGTGAGCTAGTCACCCCTCTCTGCTGGAGGGTTCGCCGGTGTGAGGCAGATAAACCCTGCTGTGCCCCGTGGAGCCCGACAGCAAAGTTGTACAATCCTAGAAAGATAAATACTGCCTTTGGCAGCCGCAAAGCTGTGCTCCTCAGAGCCCGACAGCTGAGGTGTCACAGCTGGGAACTAACAAGTGAAGCTAACAATCAAATAAAAAACTGTACAGGAGACATCATGAGGGCCAGCTTGTCTACAGTCTATGTCTACTCCTTGTCAGAGTGTCGACTCACAAGGCGAGGAGACCTCAGGCCTTGTTGTACTGAGTGTAGAGAGTTAGCCTCTCATGTTTGAGAGCTTGAGAATCATGAATGTTCTGTGTACACCAGTGGGGAGTGGAGGCCACTATCCCAAGTAGAGTCACACATGGCTATTGATGCGGTATGCAAGCAAGTAGCAGTTTGTAAGAATGGCCTGTCGTGTGGCATCCGTCCCTGGCGTGGCGGCCTGGCCGTCGTCATGTACGAGGTGGCAGGACCAAATATCCTCAGTGTCACCAGGAAAGTAGAATGCCTGATAGTGCCCGGCCGTAACCACCTTGCCTATATGCATGACCCCTCCGCATAGCTTGTACGGGGTGTTGACAACGTCACCGGCATGTCCAGTGAAGGTGGGAACAGTGAGATGCTTGTGCATTTCAATCCTCTGCCGCGTTTTCCTAATGCCTCCGGCTGATTGGACAAATCGTCCGATCTGGAGGATGAGAAGTTCGGGGGGTCTAGTTAAGGCATGTGGCGGGTCTTGTGTATGCCAAGCTGTTACAGCATCCTGTATTCTGAAGGGGTGTTGGACCACCAGTCTTATGTGTGGACAGTTGAACTGCTCATCCAGGATTTCATATACCCCTGCTTGTGGGCGTCTAGCTTCCCATCCCCCCTTGAGTGCCACGCAGTCCGTGCGGTTGCAAAGGTGCTGCAGAAACTCAGCCGCGTCATGCTGTCGCGTGGGCTTCTGCCATCCTGGCCATATGAAGTTCCATGCCGGATGTCTGGCAATATTCAGGTGCTGGTTGGATCTTGAGGCCTGTACGATGGCCCCATTGACTTCGCCCAGACCTGATATAAAAGCATCATGTGACCGAGCATAGTGCAGCATGTGAATCACTGCGTTGGCGTAGCAAAGGTTATGTGGATTAGTTAGTGCGAGTGATCTAGCATGAGGCTCATTGGTTATACGATCGCGGGTGCACCATGCCAATAAAGAGCCCTCCACTTTTGTCCCCGCGCCCGCAGTCCCATGTTTCCCCCTTGACGGGATGCCTACTTGACCCTGTTTCGGTGTACTCTTCACTGGTTGTTCAGTGGTCGCACTCACCGAATGCCCCAAAGCCCCATCCATGCTGCCTTTGTCCCTGTTCTTAGTGCAAGCCGGATCATTCAGAGTGCTACGGGGTTTTTTCGCTGACATGGCATGGACGGGGGCTGAAAAGAAATTGCGGATGCCTGTCTGCAGTTGCTCCTTCTCAGTCTCTTTTTGACTGAGCATGGGGCGCGGAGTCCGCTTTCCCCCGAATTTCTCTTGCCTGCTTTTTAGATCTGCAGTCTCTCGAGCTCCTTGGTGAGCGTCGTCTTGCCCACTCGCTCCCGTCTCAAGCGTAGACCGATCAGCTTGCCCGCGCAGTTGTTTGCCAAGAGGTCCAGGTCGTGGTAAACGGCTGCCGCCTGTTGATGGACGGTGAGTGTCAGGACCATGGTGATCACTTCCGCCTGCAGGTCCGGCTTCAGTGGTCGTAGGCTTTGGAACCGGTGCACCGTGTTGTCCTTGGCGGTGTTTGTGATGAGCTGGTTGACTGCCTTTTTTGCGTCCTCGTGAGTGAGGTTGTCCCGACTTGATGGTAGCGCCTTTTTCTGTACCGGATTCCACTCGTTGTAGATCCACTGGAGCGGAGACCGCGTTGCCCATCCTGCTGTTTCTGCTACCTGTAGTACCTTGGCGTCGGACTCGATTTTCTCGAGGCGTGCTTTCCATTCCATGAGTAGTACTCCCCATAGCGTGGCCCTCAGCGAGGTGTTGACCGTGCCTTCCTCGAACTTTGTGTTCCATGTTGCGCTGGCCTGGATCAACATGGAGACAATGCCGTGGTTCGTCGTGTCCAGGAAGAACACGTAGCTCCGGTCTGCCTCCAAGATCGTCAGTTGGTGCTCGTGTCTGAGTGCTGTTTTGACCAGGGTTTTCAAGGCCGTTCTCACCGTCTCCTCGTCCAGCGACTCCAGGTCCATCATCAACTCGTCTTCTGCTTCCTGGTCCCGATCCCGTTTTGCCTTGGGAGCTGCCTTGCCTGCGCCCTTGCCCATGCCCTTTCGATACTTTTGCGGCGTCCCTTGCGGCAGTCTGTGTCTGACGGACGCTTGTCTCTGTGGTGTAGGCGTCGTCGCCAGTGGTGAGCTGAGGCCCCACACTGCCGCCATCTGTTGCTCCGGCGTGGTCTCCACTGACGTGGAGGTCATGGTACAGGCAGAGCTGCAGCAAAGGGAGGCACTTTCGTCTGTGTTCTCGAGCAGACTTTGGGAAGTGGACATTGCACCAGCAGCAAGGTCGCGCAACGTGTGCTTGTAGCAGTGTTTCGGATTGAGCTAGACTCTGGACAAGCTGTTTCTGAGAGTCATGCCGCTGCGCCATGTGTCGTCGCCAGTGTTGGATGTCTTGCACCTGTTCACCGCATAGGAGACATCGTGTCTTGGCAAGCATGGACATGTGCTGTATGTGCAGTTGCATCTCATCTTGAGTAGGTGATTTGAGGTAAATCGCAACGTCCATCCCTGGGTGTGGTACAGGCCATACTGCAGGGAGCTGGGTCTCAGGTGAAGCGGAGGCCGCCTGTCTGCTGGTCCTTGCAAGTATCAGCTGAAAAAGAACTGGGCATTGAGAGCAATGCCGATCTGAGCCGTGCACCATTCTGTCACACCACTCACATGTATGGTCCCTTTTGAAGAGGTGCTTGAAGGCCTGGCATGAAGTGTGTATGTCTGAGGTGATATGCCGTGCAAGATTCGTATGCACTCTCTGGATATGCGTTTTAATCATGCCGGCATCAGCGATCCAGCGGCCACAGAAACCGCAGTGCTGTTTGAGGTAGGTTTTGTGTAATGCTGCTTGGGTGCATATTCCCTCATGACTTTGAAGCAATGCCAGTGTCACTTCGTTTTGCAGGAGCGTGCTCTCCTCAGTCGTGG